GAGGCTCGCCCTGTTATTTGTAGAGGGAGCGGTCCGCCCCTGTGAGTCAAAGTAATTTCTAGTCCCCTTTCAGACAGCGGTGCTGTCGGTGTGCGTGTTAACACGGCAAAGGTCTGCTAGTTTAAGGGGTAGAGTGCGTTTGAAGGAGACAGCTTGAAGCGCAAGGAAAATACCCCTGGCTCCGGCGTTTGTGTACACGGGGGTGACCTGACGTCCTGCCGTGGTCGTACCTGCTTTCATTACAGTAATCCCTTGATGTCTTTGAAAGGAAAAACTTAAGCACCGTTTGCTGTGTACAGTATGTTGAGAATGCCAATATTCTAGTGAGAACAAACTTAATAGGTCTCTCTCTCTTTCCTGTATGCTTTTCTGTAAAAATGATGGCAGCAGTGGCCTCACTAGGCTCAGCCAGTGTTTGTCATCACATAATAGCCAGGCTTAGCCCTTCCCTTTGTAAATGTTTATCGTACAACAAACTTAATAGGCTTGCTTTGCTGAACAATCTTGCTTTGCTGGTATGAGGGCTTTTTCTGTGCCAAAACGCCTGTGATGGCAGCTTGAAAAACTCTTGCCCTGGGTTTGGATGGAGCCTAACTGGTGCGCTGCGTTATACTTGCAGAATAAGCTAGTTCTATAACTGAGTAGTAGTTTTGTTCAGAAGCAGCCCCGACAACAAACTCTTCAGTGATTTTGAATACATCGCTCGACCCATTCATGGCTCAGCGGTCTGTTAGTGTGCCTAGCAAACTGTAGCACGCTGTCATGGCACATACATGGCAACATTTCTGAATTTTGTGTTGCTTAAGCCACCTACACGCACGGTAGGTCAAGTACCATACTGTATTAAATTGAAATACCACTCAGGCTAGAGATTTTACAATATAGCAGATGTGTTTTTGCTCTTTACTTCTAAAAGTTGCTTGTTCTTGTACTGACAGGACACTTTTACTAATACGAGGGTATGAGCCAGTTCCTTTTTCTTCATTGCCAGATTTAGTCCGTGCGTAAACCAGGGTGTTGTTCAGGTTAGCAGATTATGACAGGCAAACTAGTAATGTTGGGTGAGCAACCTATTGCTTCTGTAGCTGTTATGTTTCATTTTAATAGGATGTGAGGCAAACTAAATTGTTATTCTTTTATATAAGTATTTGTTTCTGTCACTGTCTGCCAACAGTGTGTGGGTTTCTACAGACCATGATGAAATTGAGAAGGTTGCAAAGCAGTTTGGTGCTCAAGTTCATCGCAGAAGCCCTGAAGTATCTCAAGACTCCTCTACTTCTCTAGAAACTATCAGAGAGTTTCTTAACCATCATCATGGTACATCAGTATTATTTGTGTAGTTCCAGTAGTGAAATGTGCTGATTTTTTATATTTTATTTTAACCCCAGAACGATGATGCATTTATTTTATTTTATTTAGAAAAATAAGTAAAGCCCGTAGTAAATATAAGCTAGAAAGATTCTCCCTTTCATGTAGCATTTGCTCACACCACACTTTGCAATTGTCTGCATTTAAAAATTCATTGTTACATAAGTGTTTGTTTTTTTTTTTCTTTAGAGGTTGATATTGTAGGAAATATTCAAGCAACATCTCCCTGTTTACATCCCAGTGATCTTGTAAAAGTGGCTGATCTGATCCAGAAGGAGGGCTTTGATTCTGTCTTCTCTGTTGTGAGACGGCATCAATTTAGATGGAGCGAGGTAAAAAAAGGAGGTAATGTTTAGCTTTTTTTGGTTACAATTATACTTAATAAAAATTCTATTCAAATGATTTGTGTCCATATTGTCATAGGAAGTGATATCAGAGATGTAGGCTTAAGTCCTGGAGGGCAATGAGATCACCTGGAAATTTCTCTAAGTAGTGCCGCTACTCATTGTTTTGTAGAAGTGATGAGATGCTGAAAGTGAAAACGTTATTAACATGTGTAGACTCAAAACATAACTCTGCAAAACTTTCTGTGTTAACTCCTGCTTGGCAAGTATTCAGGTGTTCACTGACGTGATGCTGAGGACTTGTCTTAACTAGGAAAATGTTTTGTTCTTACTGTGCGCTAACTAATGAAAGGCTGATGTGAGGTAAAGTCTCTATGAAGATAGGATGGTAACCTCTTAGCCTGGAGGCTTAGGGTTTATATCAGCTTGTTAATTCGTCTGCGGGTTTATGTCCAATTGCAAGCTGCCTTTGATTCATAAGGTCTGAATTTGTGTTAATTAGCTTATACAGAGGAATATGACTATGTTTCATAGAGAAAGTATGCTTCTCGGCTACAGTGCCAAGCTGGATAAAGACTAATCTCTTTACCAGTAAATAAAGATTGTACCTAATTGTAGCTATAGAACTATCTTTCATACTTGTACAAAGATCTATTCCCTACATTATCTATGTTGTTTTTATTTCTGTGGCTAGTGCAGAAATGTTTGCTTCTGCTTTTCCTCAAAGTGGTTAGTTCAGTAACTTCTAGGTCATTATTTTTATTTTGAAAAATGAATGTATTGCTCAGATATTAAAATTTATTCTGTGGTTTTGAAATCTGAAATGCTTCAGATGTCTTTTACGAGTTTACAGTGCATCGTGCTGTGGAAGAGCATGTGAAATATAATTGAAGCATGGTACTAGATGGAAAAAAAGTTAGGCCTTTGATTAGAATGAACAGACAGCTTGAACATCCTCCTTCTTTCTGATAAGAGGAGAAATAATGTGATGCAATTTGTATGTAACATGTAAGAGGCGCATCAAAATAATGGCTGGAAGTTTGGGATTCTGTGGATTACGTTTTAGGCAACCAGGATTAAGTCCACTTAACATCTTGAGATGCTAGAACGAACATCTGTGAAAGAGTAAATCTCATTTGGATGCACCATGTGGCTTCCTCAAGTGATTGTGTGGCACCAAGTCTCCATAGGTATCTGACATCCCGTATTGACTTCTGTAGATTCCCTGTATCCTCAACGTATTAAAATGAAAAAAAGCTTCAAGGCCTGCCCGAAACCGAAAATCATTCTTTAGTATAAAGTGACATATGAGATCTTTTAATGTGGTGGAAGATGAAGAATCCTTCTGTTACAAGGAGTATATATGAAGAGAGTGGGGAAAAAGGCATGCCAACACTAGCAGCTTAAGGGGAAAAGAAAATTGCCTTTCAGGAATGTGGTGTTTAAGGTAACAGTGATTCACAAGAGTAGAATGCAGTTCTGCTCTGTTCTCTTTTTCAGGCAGCTTTAGAGTACTGAATATGAAAGAATTTTATAGCTTTTCCTGTGTATTTGTATTGTTCCTTCTGCATTAAAGGATTAATATGTATGTACCCTTAAAGGGAACAGTGTCTCTGTGGTTGAACTGTTTACTTCCTGGAATGCAAAGCTGTAATTTATTTATTAAATGTAAAGTATATATATTAAAGCCTCAGGATCTTTGGGGTGTTTGAGAATTCCCACTAGCTTTTTCATGGGTCATCAGATCATGAGAGCTGGTGAATTTTAGCTATTTTGTATATGAATTTGACTGGGCTTAAGAATAAATGCCTCTGATCCCTGGTTCAGTTTCTGCTTCATTCACTATTGGCATTTGAAAGCAATATGGAGTCTTCCTTGTTCAAAGACACTGGTTTGTTTATTTGTGGGCGTTGATTAAACCAGTTAAGAATGGTTTGTGACTACTTCTAGGGTAGGAAGTGCCAACATGTTACCATAGGCAAAATTTCTTCTCATAAGGTCTTTTTTGACCTGCCAGATTTCAGGTTAGTTTGCTCAGCTTTCAGAGTTGATTTAGGGCATCTCTATTTTTAGGTGTAAGTAGATGAATGTTTTCTTATGTTCACCCTCATTGCAAGTTAAACCCTTTCTGTAGTGTATACTGGGAGATAGAGTATGGAAAGGCTGGAATTTCCTTCACACAGGCAAGAACACTCTAGAAGAATGCCCCCCTCACCAAGTTTGGAACTGAGGACATCTCACATCTCAGGAATTTTTTTTTAAGTTGGAATGAAAAACTTTTCATTTTCCTTTTCTATAAAAGTAGGGCAGTCCTCCAGTTTGTTATTCATAAGTTATAACAAAGAACAAGCAGTTCAGTGATTCTTTATAAAGCTAAGCTATGAGAAACAGTAATGAAAGAAGCAGGTGACTGAATTATGCCCTTAATTTTTCAACAGAAAGCTATTTAAAGAAGGCTATTAAGCGTCTCTGAAGAAGAATTTCTGGAAAACTTATGTTGTCTTTTCTCTCTGTTTACAGAAAACAAAATGACAGAGCCCCAAAACCTGAATCCAGCAAAACGGTACCGGAGGCAAGACTGGCCTGGAGAGCTGTATGAAAATGGCTCGTTTTACTTTGCTAAGAGGCATTTGATTGAGAAGGGCTACTTGCAGGTTAGTGTTTCTGTCTTTCATAGCTTCCTAGAATAATGCTTCTTGTACTTTTGCCATAGAGGATTCTGAATTCAATAATATATCTCTGTTTCTAACACAGTCCAGTGTCCAGTAACAGCATTTTGACCTCAGGACAATTTACGTATTTTTAACTTAACAAGACCCACTGTAGTTAGGGCAGTTCTAGTAACACCTTCCTCCACGGCAAGTAAATTCATACAAATAATGTGCATATCTGGCTATAAGCCAAAAAGAATACAGTATTGAGATTCACATCAGTTCACCAGGGTGTGAGTACATATTTCGTAATTCAGTTTAGTGTTACTGATATATTGTAATACTGACCTTAACATAGTATGACAGGCTTCTCATATAACTTGTAACATGTACTTGATTTCTGTGTAGCTCAATTTTCTAATCTGTCATGTATGGGCAATGCTTTTCTCATGGGTTACGACTAGACGAGAGTTTTTCTTAATCTTCAGCTCAAGTGTTGTAGTGTTAAAAGAAACCTGATAAAGTCGCTTCTACTCCTTTATCAAGCTCCTTTCTAGGAGATTGGTCTAAAATTAACTTTTTTTTTTTTTTTTCCTCCCCTTTCTTCCAGTAGCTTTTCTGAAAGATTGTTACCTAACCCTTGCCCTTCAGTAGAAGCATCTGTATGATCTCAAGCCTAAACTGGCCTATTCATGGTCAGTTTAGAGCCTTTGTCTTGCATCAGTTCTGGACTGTAGTTTCAACAGCCTTTTCCCCTTTCTTGATGTAGTATATTACACTACTTCCCAGTGTAGTAATATAGAATGAGTATATTTGCTTCAGCTTTCATTTGTTTGTCTACAAGCGTGGCCCCTTAATTTTCTCATGTAAGACAGGTTTTCCATCTTACAGATTGTTTCCAATATTTGTCACCAGAGCTATACAAAAGCCTAATGCAGATATTTCCATGTTTCTACTGGGAATACCTTATTAGGTATGGCAAGAATACAAGATTTCTTATTTCTATCTGTTGCAAATAACTCACTAGTTTCTAACTTAGGTCTCTATAGTTTGGGTAGATCCATGCAGTGCCAGTTAGTGCTGTGTGGACTTAGAAGCATTGCTCTGCACTGCTTTGTACGTTTTATGAAGGTTGGGTCACTAACTCTTACATGATCAGTGGGTTTTGGGGCGGGGGGGAGGAGGGTGATGGGTTTTTTTTGTTTTAATTAAATTGGGCTTCGGTAGATAATGCTTCCAGTTGAGATGAAGTCTTTATGTAAGTAACAAACGAAAAATAAGCATACTTGTACTGAGTCAATGCTAAATGTGGTACTATTTTACTGTATTAGTTAAAGACCTAGTAAAAGCGGAATGACCTAATGACTACAATGCAAAGCATCTTTCCTGTGTGCTTTCTCTAGTTGTAGAATGAGGGTACCTACTAACTGTTTTGCCCGTGTAAAGTTCTTTACAATGCTGGATTCTGTGTAATTGGCAAAATGCCATTGTTGGTGGTTCAGTTGTATCTAAGCCACTATGATGGCTGTGTAAACAGATATTTAGCCTTCATTACATGGCACTAAATTGTGCAATTTTATGGTTGTAGTAACCCAAATGGAAAAAGTTAATGGATTATGTTTTATTTAGGGCGGTAAAATGGCCTACTATGAAATGCGTGCAGAGCACAGCGTCGATATTGATATAGACATTGACTGGCCTATTGCGGAGCAAAGAGTGCTGAGGTAGAAGCACTTTTTATTCCTTTATGTCTTTAATATCAGTCATTGTTTCAAATTATCATCATATGAATTCATAATGTTTGTTTAGTTTTAAGGTTGCAATTTAACAAAGTAATCAAGATCAAAGATACTTGAACAACTCTGTTTCCATACATAATTTTTTTCCTCTGTCCGTTGAAATCAGCTGAATTATCTTTGCTATTTCTTTTTTAAAATGTCAGCCTCGAGGAAAGGGAGGTTGTAAGTCCTGCTATACCATAAAAATATGTTAGTATAATCTAATAAGCTTTTTCCATCTGCGTTGTCCTGCGCTTCCATGGCGAGCACCATGTTTACTGATGCACATTACTAAGAGAGAGTGGTGCATGCAAAAGACAGGAGGTGATTCCAAGTTGCCTGCTGTCTTTTCTTTGCAGCTACTCTGTACCTGTATTTCTTAAAGGAAATAAGGGGTATAAATGGAGCATGTTTCCTACCCTTTTTTTATCCATTACTCCTTTTTTTTTTTTCTTTCAAAATAAGTGCTGCAGAATGTAAGTTTTATGCTAAGGAAATAAGTCTCTTCCTAATTTTTGAAGAGACAGCATAACTGGGTTGTCTTAGATGGGTTTTGTTTTTAATTTGATGGAGGAGAATATAGTTGAAGAGTGAAGATGATGAGAAAAGACTTTAGAAAAGTCTTAAAGAATTTCAAAGGTGATAAAACTGTGATCTTCAGACAAAAAAATTTGAGTTATTGTTTTTTCTTGACTGTGCAAAAACTTCCATCCTGAAAAGATAACTTCTTTGTCTAGCTTTGGATATTTTGGTAAAGAACCATTAAAAGAGGTGAAGCTATTGGTTTGCAGTATTGATGGATGCCTGACAAATGGTCGCATTTATGTGACAGAAGATCAGAAGGAAATGATCTCTTATGATTATAGAGATATTGTTGGCATTGACCTGTTAAAGAAAAGAGGAATCCAGGTAAGCATTGTTCTGAAACGTGAGGCTTTCTTTCTGATGTAAACTGAACATTAAAATATTCTAAAACCTACAACATTTGAAATTTCTTCAGAATGCTTTTGATCAAGCTGCATAATACACTGGTACGCGTTTGGGACAGATGTTGTTCTCAGATTCCCTAGAGGAAAATTAATGCCTTTTGTTAAATTCTTCTTTTCATTCATAGTGGCTATGGCATTTTTTTCCTTTTCTTGCCCAAGAAAAATGGGAGAAGAAGTTTGTATGGTGTTGTGCTAGCACTTATCCTACAGTGTGCGGTTCAGTGTAGGTACGCATTAATTAGCTTTTGGTTTACAACGTTCTTGTCTACTGTGACGTCTCTGTCCCACGCAGACTATGAATATGTTTTTTGCAACAGCTCTGCCAAGCAGGGATACTTTGTTATCTCTTAGTTATGGAAGAGGAAGGGGTACACTGGGAAATTCATTGGTTCATCTTAGATTACCCATGATGGTGGCAAAGTGGGAAAATCAAACTCCAATCACTTTTGTCCTGTAATTGCAATAACCACAATTTATGCTCTCTGAAGCTGTAAGAATTCAAGGCAAACTGGAACAGTGCATTGCAATATGTCTGCTTTCTTGAATTGTTATTACTGAATTCTGCTAAACTGAGGATTTGGTTACCTTTATGTAAAATTAGCCTCCCTGCTATTTTCTGCATGTGCTGCTGCCTTTGATATAGCCAGGAGAATTTCTTGGGGTAAGGGCTGACTGATACAGATTCAGACTGTCTTCAAAGAACTTTATTTGAATCCTGCTGCAGGTGGAGATAGGTATGGACAAGATAAACTTGGCTAAGCCCTGAGGAAACTGTTTAGATATGTTTTGGAGTCTCCATAGTAGGAGTTCTTAAAACAGGTTAGGCAAGACATTCTTGAAATAGAGGTGTAACTGGTGCTGCCTTGGGGCAGTGGAAAGAAGTAGATGGGTTTTCAAAAGTCCTTCAGCTCTATTTTCTATAAGGCAAAAGGGAGGAACCTTGCAGTTTTGTTGCCTGCGAGCTCCCATTTCCATTCCTCCTGTGAATTGGAATCTTTCATTAGAAATGTCTTGGGCTTTGTGCTGCACTTGCTGTATTCCTAGTAGATGTTGCTGACAGACTCTTGCTTTCTGAACAGCCCCTGCTCATTATTTAAAATTGGTGCCAAATATTCATTATCACTTAGCCACAGTTAGGGAAAGTGATAATGTCCATAGCTTGGACAGAAAACTTGGCGGGGGTGGGGGGAGGTCTGAGATTAAAAATCCTACTGCAATAATCTTTATTTCCTGTCTTACGCATTGTTCCTAAATTTCAAAATTGTAATCAAATTCCTGAGATGAATGTGCCACATCAGTTTGTTTAATGTTCTGTTGATGCTCTGAAGGCCTATTGTAAATAACGAGATTGTTATTAGGTAGAGTAGTCATGGAAAATATTTCAAAGTATTTGTCTAGAAATATTACAGAAACCATCCCCAGGAATTTTTTGTATTGCCTACTGTGGCTTAGATTAGATGATACTGTATTAGACAGCTAGCATGCCATGGTACACTGATACCCAATATTTTATTTGGTACATGTTGCATTTAAAAAGAAAACATAATTTCCTTTTCTGTGAACTTGAAGGAAACTTGCAGAATGATTCACTTTCCTTTATCAACTTGTAATTAAAGACTGCAATGTGTTTTCTGAATCCTGATCACTTTTACTGTGAATTTTGAAGGAAAAAAACAGATGTGTAACCCTTCTGATATCAAAGAGCCTCTATTAGCAAAATTTCTACTGTTCTTTCATAAATCAGTTTGTCTTGTTTCTCTGTAGAATTTATTCTAACTTGACTTAATTTAATAGGTCCGACTTATCTCTGAAAGAGATCGTTCAAAAACGCTGTCTGCCATGCAGCTGGGATGTGTAGCAAAAGTTAATGCAACAAATAAATTAGAAGTCCTAGAGGACTGGCGAAAAGACATTGGTTTGAGCTGGAAAGAAGTGGCTTACTTAGGTCAGTTTCCTTTTTTTGGTACTAAAATTTCATACAGATATGTAAACTTTGTGGTGCTGTTCATCTCCAGAGTACTTTGTCCTTTGTTAATAAACGAGATTTAATGGAATTAAAGTGCACATTGCAGCATAGAATCACCAACAGCAAATACATTTCTTAAGTCCTGTTGGGGTCCAATCTAAATATTAAATGCATTAATGAATAAGGCCTGATCTGGTAAGTTGAGTCTCAGCTGTTTTTATGAGATTTAGAAAAGTATAATAAGCTTTTCGTATGGTTACACGCGCATACAGCTAAAGTTCACAATTGTGAACTGATTTTAATTCATTCCAGGTGAATATTATATAGGTTATATTATGAAATAGAAACAAAAATTGGACAGAATTAAAGCTATGTAATCCTGCACAAAACTACATTTCAGTGGCAGCTTAAGTATAGAGTTGTGCAAGTGCTTACTCAGTTGCTTAAACAATTTTACTTAAAAATCTTAAAAGTATTATTCTTTTGCATAAAGTTTATGTAAAGTGTGATTAGTATTGGCATATGTCGTAGAGGTTTTCTAAGAACTGACTCACACTGCAAAATGCTGTTGAGGTTCTCAGATGAAAGTTGCCACAAGAATACAAATTTTAAAAATAATGTGTGTAAGAAAGAATATGGGGTTTGCTAAGTTTATCCGCTTTGTGATATTGTATGTATGTCATCTTTTTCAACAGGAAATGAAGAGTCTGATGTGGAATGCCTGAAAAACGCTGGCATGAGTGGTGTGCCTGCTGATGCTTGTGCAGTTGCTCAGAAGGCTGCTGCTTATATTTGTAAAAGCAATGGCGGCTGTGGAGCCATCCGAGAGTTTGCAGAACATATCTTCCTGTTGTTAGAAAAAGTGAACTCTGCAAGAAAGCAGTTGGGAGAAGTGAGTTCAGTAGGAGGGGAAATTGGGGGAAATGAGAACAGCAGGACAGGAAATAAGGAACTAATGAAAAAGAAATAACACACTTGTTCTCTCTTGCTATCCTCCTTCTCCTGTTCCCTTCTGAATATGTCTGTATCCCAAAGGATAGCTTGCCTTTCAGATTTGACGCTTAAGTAGAGTTGAAAAGATATTTCCCTCTAGTTTAAGGTCCCACTTTCATTAAATGCTGAGTATATTTATATTCATGATTATTTTAAAAGTCATTTAAATGCAATGGAAGGAATTCTACAAAAGGTAGTGTCCTGTAAATGTTCTTTTAATCGTTGTACCTGTTCTACAGGAATGATGTGTCCTTATGTCATAATTGAATAGTTTCAGCAATGATTTTTTTTTATGATTTGAGGATTTATGATTCAGATTTTTGGCAATTTTGTTCTCTCAGTTGTGCTTCTTTCATTTAGACTCCCTCTATCAAATCTTAATATGGCACTGTAACTGTGTGCTTGCTTTTTATGAGATGCATATCCAATAAGCAAGAGTTCTAGCATATGCTGGAGAAGTCAGGTGTAAAATAAGTATCAAACCTTTCCCTATATTTTTAATAGCAAGTTCAGATACTGTAAAAACAGTCAATATTAGTTAAGAAAAGCATTTAAGCATGTGCTCAGTTTTAAGCTCATTAATAATTAAATGGTGTTTGGACTCGTGCCTCTTAACTTTGAATCTCTTTAAGAACTTAAGTGAAACTCAGTGTAAATTAGCTTACCCAAATGCTTTAATGAATTTGAAGCTAAATTTCCTGTAAACTTGGAGATCTATCTATTGCAGAAACTATTTCTTTCTGTGAAGGTTTTATTATGATCATTAATGACAGAAAAGATTGTTATTGCATGAAGAAGTAATTGCTGTATAAAATTCATAGTTGAAGTTTGTGGGTTTATATCCAGCATACATTCAGACTATTTTTAGCATGTTAATTTAAAACTGGTGTGTATGTATGTGTATTTATTTAGAATACAATTTTTATCCTGTTTTGATTTAATGTATGCAGTGATCTGTAAACATTTGAATAATCAACACTAAAATTACGGATCTCTTTTTCAATCCTGATTATCAGTGAGCCAAGCTAAGTCTTGGGTTATGCTAAAAAATAAAAAATAATAAGTTGCACACAGGCAGTTACTACTGAGATGAGTAATAATGGTTTATCATTTTATTTTATGTTTCTCTGCTAAATAGACACTCTGAATACGGTATCTCCTGATCTACCGCTCTCTATTGATTGATTAACTTTGTGTTTACTTCCCATTACTATGCAATTTATAAGTGAAATTCTTTTACTACCTATCAGCCTCTGCTAAGATTAGCAGGTGAATAGTTTGCTGCAGTAATCAGCTTCAGGTTATCATGTAAGTACTTCCTTTTGGTGAGGTTTAGTGTTCTGCGCTGGATAAGTAAGTTCCATGGACTTTAAAAACAGGAGAGACATGTTTTGGATAACACTCTGAACTTTGGCATAGGTAGCTAAACCATTTTCTTGTATAGACTAATGTGATAAAGCTGCAGAAGTTCAGACTGGATCAACAAATCATTGTTGATATGATGTCATTTAAAATTAGTCACATTTTTATTTTGCTTCGTCATGGTCAATTAACTTTTTGACTTTGGTTTGAAAAGCAATTTCTTGTGAATAGATAGCTTTAAACAAGGCCACCTAGCTGAACTTTGTTCCCATTCCTCTTCTTGTAGAGAAGGCAAAAATATGAATTAAGTACAATTATTATAGTAGAAATATGAGTTGGCAGTACTGTTTGTTTGCAACTTTCTGTCTGAATTAAGAACTCTTTAAAAATGTCTCAGTAACTTTGCTATATTTACTACATATACAGTTAAGTCCTTGCCCAAAATCTCTGCGTATCTCAAAAAATAAATGCAGAAACACTTTTCTGTGACTGTTTGGAATAGGCAGAAAAAAATGGTAGTTGGTGCATAAGTGTTCTCACTTCGACAAATTCTTGTTTAGAAAAACCTGGTATAAACATCTTATATTGGACGTACCAGAAGTATGCAGCAGCAAGAAATGAAGAATGAAAGACTGCTAGAGATAATTTACAAAATAAACCCTGTTTGAATGTTTTAATTTAGGCTCTGATCTGACAAATGCTTAACAAGCTCATATTTCCAGTACCCGCATGGGATGTGGGAAACGCAGGGTCCTCTGCCTAAAGCATTCAGATTTATGTCACCCACACTGCAAGGGAAAGCCTAACTGTAAGTTAGAGTAGAACAAGGGATGTCTCAGTTTTTTCTCTTGACTACACAGAAGATGATATTCAATCATACGGAGGATTTAGGGGTTGCAAAGATAGTCACCTTAAAGGAGAAATCCTGGGCCACTTTCAAAAATGTAATATTTTTTGCTAATGACGGCTTCATAATATCCTGGCACCATGCTTGTCTTTCAATAGAGGTGTGTGGTGTACTCAGGCTTATATTTCAATGGTCATTTTCATTAGGGAGCTAATTTTAGAATAATCTTGCAGGGTTATAAGACTTAAATTAAAATAAGGAAAAATGTGAGCATTTGTTTTTTAATTTAATTATCTAGTATTTATTTAAAACATTTTAGTAGCCTATTTGTTATGAAAACATTGCAAAAAAAATGAGTTTTATCACAATTTGGTGAAATAGAAAAGGTAAGAAACTACGTAATTTATGTTAAAGTGTATATATAAAAGAAATATAGCCGATTAACTGGAATTTGAAATAAACAGTTTCTGTAGTCTTTTTAGCATAGAATGGTTATGGGGTAAATTATAAAGAGTTCGCACACTATAAATTGTACCCTTCCAAGGTTATGTGCCTCGTGAGTGGAATATACCCAATGAAGGTCGGCAAACTTAATGTGCAAATTAATCACATACACATCGATCAGTTACCAAAAATCTTCGTCTTGATCTGCTCTTGGAGACAACTCTTCAGTTTATGCGTGGTTATGCCTTGTTAAGTAACTTCTCCTGCACTTGCATGTGTTTTGTATTTTCAAATAGCTGCTTCAGTGCTGTGTGATTTATATCTGTGTTTGTGAAAGATAGGATTCATCTCTGTTTTCTGAGCTGTCAAGGCCAGCCCAGTATTTCTACAGTAGGATAGTCTTGTAAATGGAGCAGAACCTGTTGAGGATTGTTTGACAAGACATTCTTGGGTAGAATTCTCATTTTGGGTAGGCCTCAAGAACTCTGCTAGTTTTAGTTATTACATGGCTCTTTGCCAGGAGAGTTCAGGAGCAGGGAGAAGGATGGGTAGTAATACATTACTCTTACGTTTGCTAAACCTCACCAAAGGGGGAAATGAGTTAGCCCTTCACCTACTTCTGGCCCAATTTGTTTTTATCTGATCTTTGTCCTATTCAGTACGTTTCTCTCAAGTTCAGTGCCGTTTCCTGTATGGTGTTCCAACGTGTTCTGACCTTAGTTCATTCAAATCAGTATGAACCATAAGACTCAAAGGCCTTTTGAATTCAGAGAGATTTTACAGTACTTAGTGATTTCAAGTTCTTAATACTTTTAAACCTTGAGCACACATTGGTTAACTTGCGTTTCCAGTACCCAGGGGGGAAAGGGGGACTTTTAATTGTTTTCAATTTTCCTGTTTCAAAAAAATACTCCAAATGAGTCTAGTTACAGTGCACTACACGCAGCAGGACTAATTATCCTAAATGGCAATGTTAAGAGCAGTGAGGTAGGTCCAGTGGAACAAAACCACTCTATTGTGCCTGGACCTGTTGCATAAATTAGCTAGAAAAACTTACTGATCCATTTGTCTGAAAAATGCTTTGACTGTGCGTTTGTTTCTCTTTCTTGCTGTGGTACACATTTTGTTTTATCTGTTCCTGATCCTAGATATGTTTATGTATGTGGTTCTGGCTTAATAGAGCTTTCTCATTGCTAGAAACTTTGAAGGAAACAAATCTATTATTTGGTAGTATATTATTTGGTTTTATAGCTGTCTATAGCATCAAGACCATTCCCACCAGAAAGGTTGCCATTGCCTGTTTATAAACAGCATGTTAAGAGGGATGAGCAGTGAGGAGGCAAAGATACCAAATTGAAAATTCAAGTTAGTAAAGAGCAGGGCTGGTAGAACTGAAAAAAAAATGAGAAGTACATAATATGAAAATTATGATAATATCACATATAAAAGCACCTGTTTCTACTGAGGGATTATCATTTGTGAAGATATAATTTGTGAAGACTGCTATTATGTGAAGTACATAATAGCAGTCAAAAGAGCAGATTGAGTTTTAGAAATGGTTAGGAAAAGGATACAGAATAAACAGGAGAACAATCATTATTCCACCATATAAATGAGTGGTTTGCCCATATCTTGAATACTGTGTGTTTTGATCCTTACATGTCAAAAAGAGAGTTAAAGTAGAACTCGAAAGGTTCTTGGAAGAATAAAACAGATGATCAAAGGAAGGAATCAACTTCTATATGAGAAATAGCTTCCTTCAGTTTGGAAGAAGGATGACTGAAGAAACTCCCCCTAGTTTATGTTAGATATCTATTATTATATCTCTAATTATGAGGGGCGGGGAGCTGGCAGATGCCTGAGTAGTTATAAATGTACCTTATTGTATTTGGTTTCTCTTCCCAGTTCTCCTGCAGCCTCCAAATACTAGCAGCTCAGGGATTTCCTGAGCTGGACATGAATTACAGAAATTTACTAACCCTCAACACACTTAAAACAGCCCTTGGCAATATGTTGTATGGGCCTGTCACCTTTTATGTGGAGCACTGTTTCCTTTAGTTCTGAACCTCCCATTCTTCCTCCTATTTCTTATATGGGAGAATTCTATAACTTGTTGATTCCCAAGTGCGTTTTTATTCTTATTGCACATAGGGGTTTGTTTCTGAAATATTGATGTGTAGCTCAGACCCAAGAGCAGAGCATGATACTACTATTACCAACAAGCATTAATCATCTAATCTTAAAAACTCATCTGAAAATAAGGCAAAAAGAAGCCCAGAACTGCATAAGAGTAGGATGGCATCGGCTGAACCAGGCTTCATCAGCCATAGTCAGGGTAAATTGCTCAGGAAGTTACAGAATCACAGAACAGTTGAGGTTGGAAGGGACCTCTGGAGATCCTGTAGTCCAACACCCCTGCTCAAGCACAGTCATCTAGAGCACACTGCACAGGAGAACGTCCAGACAGCTTTTGAATATCTCCAGAGAAGGAGACTCCACAACCTCTCTGGGCAACCTGTTCCAGTGCTCTGTCACCCTCACAGGAAAGAAGTTTTCCCTCATGTTCAGACGGAACTTCCTGTGTGCACAGTGTGTGCCCATTGCCTCTTGTCCTGTCACTGGGCACCACGGAGAAGAGCCTGGCCCCATCCTCTTGACACCCTCCCTTCAGATACTTGTACACATTGATCAGATCTCCTCTCAGTCTTCTCTTCTCCAGGCTCAACAGGCCCAGCTCTCTCAGCCTTTCCTCATAG